CCCCCCCCCCCCCCCGCCCCCCCAAAAAATATCAACAACAAAAGGACCAAATTATAAAGGACTACATGGCACACACTTGCCGACCCCAAAAGACAAAAAAGGTGAGATTCTGAACCTAGAGCTGGAAAAAGTAGTGAGAAATTGGTAAAAGGTCATGAGATGTTCCAAATTTCTAGTGGAAGGACTTTCAGTGGAGATTATGAGTATTGGAAGTCATTACATCAATTTAAAGATAGAGCAGTAAACATCAGGATAAATTTTGCGATTTATATTATTTAGGTTTTGTAATATCTCTCGTTTGTTGGAGCCATCTTGAAACAAGAGAAATGGTAAGTCTGCACATTTGGTAGCAGCAGCAAGTCACCATTGGCTAAAAGAATAAAATCACACACGACCACTAAGCACTTTCTTTGGGTTTAGCTGGCTGTCTATTGATATCTAACTTTGAAATGAACCCCACAATTACAAAATTTTTTGGAGTTTGACTTTTTTAGGAAAGTGTAAAAAGTCAGTTGCCAACTCGTAAGAGCGTGAGACAGGTCCCACAATCGTGAGACTCATGAGACTTTGCAAGTCTGGTGGTGGTCTATGGTGGCCCACAACTGTCACGGCAAAACCAAAACCTCACAGGCAAAAACAAATTACCTCACAGCAAAACCAAATACTTCACAGCAAAAGCAAAATAGCTTTGGTTTTGCCGTGGGTATTTGCTTTTGCCATGAGGTATTTGGTTTTTACCGTGGGTATTTGCTTTTGCCATGAGGTTTTTGTTTTTGCCGTGAGGTTTTTGGTTTTGCCGTGAGGTATTTTGTTTTTACCATGAGGTTTTTGGTTTTGCCGTGACAGTTGTGGGCCACCGTAGTGGTCAGAAGACAGTGTCTACAATTTTGCAACTATTTTACAGATTGCAATACATAACCAAATGGCCCGCATCATATTTTAAAAATTTATTTACATTTTTTCTGGAAAAACGGTGGGTTCTTTTTTTTTTCATTTGAGAGTGTTGCTAGAAAAATTAGTTCCTTGAAAAGATAAGATTCTTACGGAAAGCTTTTTTATCGCGCACTTATTTACTAAGGTTGAAGTTTCAAAAATATTAGATCAGCTGAGTTCAGTTCGTTTGAAAAAGCACAAGTCATATCAAATGCTTATCAAGTTACCACACATGGGCTTAAATCTTTATAAAAAAAATTGTCCTAGATTATACAGGGCATTTTTGCAGCAAGCATTGTTAATCAAAGTTAAATAACGATACTTACCACACAGCTTCTTAAAACCTTGGCTTACAAACATGGCGGCGACCAACAAACTACGCCCGCGTTCAATCGGGTCAGTTTATGCACCATTGTTAAATTTGTAGGTAATGTAAGGGCGTGTTTACATGACACCCGGCCACTTTCGCGTAAGCCGGAGATCACTGGCTGAGATACCACCACAAAATGTCATGCCGGCGCGAGTCACCGGGGCGAGAATTTCACTCCGGTACGAAATCTCGCAACAGTATCATGTAAACGCGAAACGACCACTCGTTTCGGTGTCAAATCGGTCTGCCGGTTAGCCTGCGAAGCGCAGACGCATTTCCGGTCGTCGCTTCTCTCCCTCCGAAAAATAGCTATTTTTCGGAGGGAGAGAAGCGACGACCGGAAATGCGTCTGCGCTTCGCAGGCTATCTG